TAGAGAGTTCGCAATCGGAATTGTGGGAAGGGTACCAGACTAAGTTTGTAATGGGCACCTGAGACCTTTATACAGACTAAATTTTATGACCAATGACATCCTTCGTAACGAAATAAATAAACAATCCTCGGATACAATACAAATGAAAAATTATCGCATACAAATAAGAAATTATACAATACAAATAAGAAATTATACAATGCAAATGGAAAATATAGAATACAAATGAAAAATTATACAATGCAAATGATTTTTTTTACAACACAAATGGAAAATATAGAATACAAATAAACATTATACAATCCAAGTGGAAAATTATAAAATCCAAATGGAAAATTATAGAACACAAATAAAAATTATACAATACAAATTGAAAATTATACAATACAAATGAAAAATTATACAATACAAATGAAAAATTATACAATACAAATAAAAATTATACAATACAAATGGAAATTTATACAATACAAATGGAAAAGATCGAATATTGCAACGTTTGACATGCCATATAACTGACATAGGACTAGGAACTGTTTTTACAGGCTACAGAGAAATGAAATACATCCAGTTTTTTATACTAGAGTTTTTTTTTTTTTTTTTTTTTTTTTTTTTTTTTTTTTTTTCCAAAAAAAAAAAATTATTACCTGTTGATTTCATGCAAAGTTTTGACGATTTGTCTGCAGCTCAATTTTTCGTTACTTCTGTCCCTATAGAATATCGCTTATAAAAGCACCTAACGTAGATGCAAGTAGGTTCTAAACAAATTCAAAGAATCTGCCATGTCATCACCCCTTCTGCCGTTGCTAGTATCCTTTCCAGGTATCAAGAAGGATACTTTTGTTGTCGGACGAAACTTAATTTTGGACAAAATGCACTCATTCTTCAGCTTAAATGACAAAACAAAAAGAACCATGTTCATATATTATCATTACCTACTAATCGGTCATACAGTCCCTGAAACGTTCTACTTTCCCATTTTTCCGTTCGCTCACCGTTCGTTCACCGTTCGTTCAGCGTGCGTTCACTGTTCGTTCACCGTGCGTTCAGCGTTCGCTCTCCGTTCACAGTTTTGCGTTCAGCGTTCACCGTGCGCTCGCGTTCACCGTTCACAAAGCGTTCAGCGTTCGCTCTTCGTTCGTTCACGTAGCGTTCACTTAGCGTTCACTTTGAGTTCAGCGTTCACTTATCGTTCAGTCTTTATTGTCATTCGGAACTCCGAAGTGAAAAGACTTATATTTTTTTAAGGAAGGATTTACAGGTTTTGAATTTAATTAATAATTAACATATCGTGTTTAAAGAATCATTATTTCATGAGAAAAAAATTATCTACAATATTTTTTTTTTATTATTCTAACTTAGCTGTTAGTTTATTTATTAAATCTATCTGGAAAATAAATGTTGTTATAAGTACATGTATGTAACTATGTAGAACGATGTTGAAAAATTAAATTTAAATACGGGCAATATACAGATACTTCAAGCATTGCAACATTTTGTTGCTATGTTAAAGAGGACAAATCGTTAATGGATAGATAATAATCAAAGTCAATTAATTTATAAACTGCAGCAAAAATACGAAAATATTTATTTCTGACACATTTTTTTTTCAAATAATACAGAAATACTTGTTAGAACTAGTTCTGAGAATTATAAACAGTACTGCGGATATCAAGTTAATTAAATATCTTTAGAGCGAATTAAATTGATTAGTGTGGTTAAAAACTAAAGATATTTGTTTAAAATGTAATACATTATATTTTTTTTTCTACTTTACATGTATAAAGTCTTTAATTAGAGAAAGAGAAATGCCTTTATAGCATGATTATCATTAATATAACCAAGGTGATTCTCCGGTAATGTTATTTTTCGCCGTAACTTTATATGTTTGCCATTCGATATGATTAAGAGCCACCCCCCCCCCCCCTCCTTCCCCTAAGTCGGTTACTTAGTTAGTATTTCCAGTATATTTTAATTAACATTCAAAAAAGAAGTAAGTGTGTTTTGTAGCACAAAAATTTCAGTCTCAAAACAAACATGCATCTAAACAAAGTCATTAAACAATAGTAGTTCAAAATATACATGTGCCGGCGGTGATATTTTAAATTGGCAGGGAGTATGTTTCAAATTCAAGCGGCTTAATTATTCCAAGTGTTTATTCCCAATGTATTTTATTCATTTATTATTTTATTTTTTTTTTTTTAGAAATGCTTGAAGCAGATCTAGAAATGATAAGAAAAAATGTTAAAACTTCTTGGAAATACTGACACTTAGCCTTCGGTGTGACGAGACTTTCACACCTGCACAGTGTCGAATGATTTTGATTGACAGGTCAAGCACGTGGACTTCGTGTGAACTTGAAGCAGGAAAATAAAAACCGATTATGACTGTTTCATGAAAAAAAAATATGTTTTTGTGAGTGATTTTCGTTTATTTTTTAATGTTGTTTTTGGTCTCAGAATTTCTCTGGTCACTGGATAAATTGATTGTCAGCTCTGGGATCGTTGTGCTTTTTGCCTGTGAGAGGTTTTTAGACATAGGGGAACAATTCTTATAACCCCCTGGTCTTGACCAGATTGACCCCAGTTAGCTGGATTATTAATATTCCTTTATTTCTCAAAATGACGCTCCAGTTTGAATCTACTCTTCCTAGGATATGTTCCCTTCCTGTCCATAGCGCATCACAAGTTATGGGGAGTGGCCCTAGCTGTTACCCAACCTGTATAAATGCAACCAGAAAGAGACAAAATCCAGCAGACCACCCTTTATTAAATTAACACATACATTCTAATTATTTACAATTACTAAAGATACACAATACACAATATAATAAACATTAAAATAAATAAGAAATTACTATTAAATTATGATATATTAACCTGTAAATACATTGAGCCATATGAAAATTTTAACCATCTTACAAAAATCGCGCAAGTCTACAAAAATATCTTACCTGTATAAATGCAACCAGAGATACAAAATCGAACAGACCACCGGCTGGATATTTCTCACTGCGCTACATTTATTCTCCCGTACATGCCCTGCATATTTGAGTATTTCTTCAATATTTGCACTAATGACTTTTAATTTTGCTCTGAATTTACATTAATATTATCCGCCCTTAAACCCTCTTTTTATCTTAAATTGCTCTTTAAAATTCTTGTTGAACTTTTTGCATTATCTTGACTTTTTATTTCCTATAGGTAATTTATACAGATGCATGACCTCTAATCCCTTGCATCAACCTCTTTGATTGGTTACACCTTTATTCTTGACCAAACCAGCATCTTATAAACAAGTTCTTAATCTACAAACAAATAGCAAACCTCATGGAGCTAATTATCAGCGGTGGAAAGTTCATCCTGCACTCCTGCCCAGCATCTGTTTTCTTCTATTTTTATCCTGCGCGATCGGCTAAACCTTAATACATTTGCTACTTTACCCTTGAGATTCATAAATTCCACAATATTCTATTTTTATGCAATTTTGTTATGATAACTGTAAAACAAATGAATTTGTTGATAAAAAAATGGTTACTTTCACTGCCTGATATATTTAGAAAAAAATTAAAATTTTTTGTTTGATGTGGGTACATTTGAGGAAGCTGGGGGTGCTAAAACCGAATCTCTCTCTCTCTCTCTCTCATTTATCTGTTTAATAAAAACTATGACAGCATATTACTAAATATTTAAGTTGTGAAATTTTAATATATAACAAATAATATGAACGCCTCTTTGTATCATCTTGTCCGAATATAATCACGGCCGGGAAATGTCTACGGATACACTGTAGAAGTTTGCTCAATAAATCATCATAAAAAATAAAACTGGCACATAAATATATTATTGCATCAAAATTTCAAAATACGAGTGTATTTATGCAATACGTCCAGATACTTTTGTAAAATATTTTATTTTTTTATTCTTATTATTTTACACGGAATCGCCATGGCACGGAAATATATGTATGGTTGTTACAGCCGTTGTAATTCATTCTATAAGTCCGTAGTTTTCTCTTCTAAAATCCACATTATTTGCAATGGTTTTATATATCAAATAAGAATAAAAATATTTATTTTACAACTAGATTAATTTTATCTTTTATACTGCAGCGTTCGGTAACAATTACAATGTTTTGCAGCAATAAAAACGTGTTATTAGAAAGTTGAATATAGACATCATACATATGTGCAGAAAATATGTTACGAAATTTAAATTAATAATTTTACTTAATGTGCATGTATAGTTTTTCTTAGGACAATTTTCATTGATTTGTTTATTTATTTATTTTTTAACACCAGGCATTAGAATACAATAAAATAGTTTCAATGCAAGGAAAAGATCAGAGGCATTCCGAATAAATCGTTCATCTTGCGTTCACCGAGCGTTCACCGTTCTCTTTGCGCTCGCGTTTGCGCTCCGTTCGCGTTCTGCGTTCGCTCACCGTTCACCGTTCACACATCGTTCACCTAGTTGCGTTCAGCGTTCACAAATCGTTCACTCAACGTTCGCTCTGCGTTCGTTCATCGTTCGTTCAGCGTTCGCTCACCTTTCTAGTGGGAGTGTAGAACGTTTCAGGGACATTACAGCTGTATCTATTACTACCCACACAGGTTAAAATAAAAAAAAAAGTGTAAGAAAAGGAAATCCTACGATTCTTTTTTTTTTTTTTTTTTTTTTTTTTTTTAACATGAATAAATATAAAAGAACAAACATTGTTTTTACTGAATTTGCAACTTTCAATTTCTGAAAAGTAATGGAGTTCTAAAAAAGTTCACACGTTTTTTTCTGGTCAAACTCAATGCACTTTCTCTTTCATTACGATATAATTTTTTGTGCAACCAATCGTAATTCACTTGTGTTTGTTTTTTTCTTCAGTTCTTTTTGTTTATATAGTCTTGTAGAGATGTAATTGTGTGATATTTATATATACTTAAAAACACCTATAAATGAATTTTTACATTCTTATTGCTATTAAATGTTGTAACTTTTACAACAGATATGGCTGGTGTCCAGGGTCAGGATGTCATTCGTTGTGAGCTATGTCCAAATCCTGTGGAAAATCACTGCAATCTTTGTCATGTGGATCTCTGCCTCTCTTGCATACCAAATCACATGGGTGACAAATCAAGAAAACATGAAATCGTTGAATACGCTTCAAGAAAAAAAGAAACTGTTTTCCTACCCACCTGCTCCTCACACGCAAATAACCATTGCGAAGCGTACTGCGAAGATTGTGAAACACCCATATGTATACTACGCTTGATGGGTTTACACAAAAACCATGCATTCACCCATATTAATGAGAGTCTTCAAAAGGAGAAACAGCATATCATATCCGACACAGAAGAACTGGAGAATACAATTCTTCCAAACTACAGAAACGTTAACCAAACTACAACGGCTGCAGACTTTGACAAAGTTCTGTCTACTATAGAAGAACAAGAAGAAAAAAATTGCAATGCTGTGCATAAAGCAGGCATTCAACTTAAAGACAATGTAGTGGAAGAGAAAAGAACGGCTTTAACTGAGAGCAAGGAAAACCAGTCTTTGTCAGATAAAACTGAAAAAGAACTTGATCAAGTTATTCAGAAAAACAAAGAAGTTCTTCGATGCAATGACGCTTCAACTATAATGAACTACAGATCAAGAAATGGTGAGTTCCGAAAAGGTCCTGAATTACCAATAATTCCTCGCTAAGAGTTACTCCCTGGTTTAATACAAGAAGATCATATTGTCCAGATGCTTGGTTTTCTTAAGAGCGTGGATGTTTTGCCGAAAAAGCCCGCATCGCTGAAAATGATGGATGATCCTGTGGTACTTAGCACCATACAGAGTCCTTATGGAGATGATAATAAATATCTTCAAAGAATGCAGTGTGTAGGGAGAGATAAAATCTTGACGACTGGAAATAGTGGTGAAATAAAGCAGATTGACAGGAATGGATTAATTCTACAAACTATGCCTACATATGATCTGGTGTGGGCATTGTCCATTACTTTACAACAGGAACCAGTGTTTTCTCTTTCCATCGTTACTATTAAAAGAACAGAGATCTATATATATAAACAGGACAAAATAGAACTGTTACTTTGCTTGAAGGACTGGTATCCAGTCGGTCTATGCTACGCAAAGAATGGAGATCTTCTAGTAAGCATGCGCTCTACAGATTTGAAGCGGAGTAGAATAGCACGATACTCAGGGTCCACAGAGATTCAAGAGATCCAGTACGACGGTCTAGGACAATCTTTGCTTTCTACTGATATCGCATATTTGTTTCCCGTTACTGAAAATAGCAATGGAGATATCTGCGTTGCTGATTATGCAGGGATGGAGGTTGTAGTGATGGATCCTGCAGGCATATTACGATTCAAATATTCGGGAAACCCAAATTACAGAGACTTTAGACCATTTCATATTGCTTCTGATGTCAATGCTCAAATCCTGACATTTGATACCTTAGGCAACCTTATCCATATCATCGATGGTGATGGTAACTTTGTCCGTTATATTGAACACCCGTGTTATGGAGGACTGAGTATTGATACGGACCACAACCTTGTAATTGGAGACAGACATACTGAAAAATTAAAATCATCAAATATTTGGAATAATGAACTTTAAGACTATTTCAGGAAAAATCGAAAGTTTTATCAAGATGTAGTATCATGTTTGTTTTGCTGCGCATAACTTGACATTTTGATCACAAGTACTATTAAGTAGCATATACAGAGAACCATTTTTTACTTATCCAAACGAGTCGATTGAAGGTTGTGTCTAGTACAAAGATTGAACAAAGTGCTTTGCAATTATCAGTTATCGGCATATGAAAATTTAAATGTAGTGAATGATATTTCATTTTAAAAAGTGACACTATGATGGTGAATACCGTTGGAATAATAAAATGTCTGATCAAAGAGACTCATTCTACGAGGTTTTGAGAAAATTCTCATTAACCAGCCTATCAAACTGCTTTGTGGATATTAATAGAGATAAAAAGAAATTGCAGAAAACAGGAAGAATCGTCACAAAAAAATAAAATAATTAATGTAAAACAAGCACGTACTACCCAAATCAATTTAGCTTAATTTGAGCTGTTCTCGAAATAGTAAACTTCTTAAAAGTTAGGGAAATTTTACCTCAAGAGGCAGGTAATATTCACGAAGAAAGAGTTTTGAATTTTCCTTTTAAAAACTGCTGAAAGCACATAAAAGGTATGTTCATGGATGAAGCAATCCTGCGGACGAAGACAAAGAATACTGCGGTCTTCCATTAACATATATTTACATGTATGAAATGTGTAGGTCGAGCCAAGAAACACACAACGAAAAGACAATTCCATGTACTGTAACCAAATTGCTGCTTATAGTGACTTTTTGAAATGTATAACTATAACATGCTGAATATCTGATATCTATGAATATGTTCATTATTTGTAAGTGTGTAACGCATACGACTGCTTCAGCATTCTCACCGAATCATCAGTCATGCATTGTACACAGTTTTTTCATCAACCTTATACTGTACATCATTGTATGTATTATTATTTTTATATACCTGTAACTGTTTCTTTTTCTATTGATAATTCCCAGAATAGTTAAAATACGTAATTTCCTATTAATATATTCATGATTTTAGATCTTAACATAATAAATACACATGTACATTTTTAACCTGTTGTTATTGAGGGATTTTTCTAATAAAGATCATAAATATCCACAAAAACTTTGATCATCTTTTATGAGCCCATATTTGCTCTCTAGACAACGATTTTTACTAAACTGAATCCCCATTGTCGAAAGATACATGCTTGAATTCATAAACTTATTTGCCAATAGTTTGTCTCGTTTAGAAATTCGTCTTAGGTAGAGCATATGTCTACGTATCGAATCAAAGAAGGAGTCACAGACACAAGTGACAAAGATGGTAGACAGACATCTTGGCCCAACGACACATCGGCCCGTGACGTTTGACACCTCTGCCCTGACAGATCTGCCCAAGATTATTGACACGTCGGCCTACATAAACGACACCTCGGCCCAAGCAAAATTTTATGATACAAAAAATTAATCCAGTGTCTAAAATGTTATTATTATCGATAGAATTATTCTTTCTGACGGTTAAACGATTAAAAAAAAAAAAATTAAGGGGGCGGGGGTGGTCTATAATAGAAAATTCCCTAAACAAATCAGATTAGCACGTCCTTAACTAACATTTATCTCTTGTGGAAAATCCCCAATATATACAGTTAAGTGAAACTATAATAACATTTTGGATTATTTCTCTGACGATCTGCAAAATCTGAGTAGGTTGATATTTCGTGAAAAGATATATATGGACTTCATTTAAACAGTAACTTTTTTTTATAAATTTTGGGCCGACCATTCAAGGAAGAGGTGACATTGGGCCGAGATGTCAATGGGCCGAGGTGTCGTTGGGCCGAGGTGTCAGACTGATATTGCTACACACACAAGTAAGGGAAGCTGACGAAATTTGATGTCATCATGTTGTTGATTGTTGAATTACTATTACCGTCTTTTTCTAGTAAAATATCCCAAAATAAAACAGATGTGTCTAATGTGTGGTAACTTTAATTTCACTGGCACATATCGAGTCCAAGCGCAACTTCCCGGGTCTTTCCGACTGGCGGAAAGCAACCTCGACTGTTTTACTAATGCATCCATGACAACTCTCTTTTAATAAACTTTGAAATAAATATGATAGACTTCAAATATGTTGAGAATGAAACAACTTCGTTAAGTGGAAAGATATGAAATATCTACAACAGAAAACTTTTCAACTCCGACTTTCAAATACATAAATAAATATAATGCATCTCCATTTTGATTGAAATTTTAACATCCGTGAAATAAATATATTCGAGTTGTTTTTTCTGAGCTCACCGGAAAGGGTTGAGAAGATGTAACTGATATTAAGTCGGCATTTGAGCAAAGTAACAATTGTTGATTGATAATACGTCGACGATATACCTAAATGCTGAGTTGAGGGCCACATCAAGTGTTTTCTTCTTCTCATGTAAATTTTTCTAATACATTCTGTTCCATATGAATAAAAAAAAATAGGTCTGCAATAGCAGGGCACAATTGAATTGGTACCAATGGTATTTTTGTCATATTGTTTGAAGACTTGATCTCCAAAAACAACAGTTGTCAACAAGAAACTTAAGTATCTTTTAATATCAAGTTCAGAGTACTTGAGTCGACAATCAGAATGTTTTTAACAGAAAAAAAACTACGCCTAGTCTTTCAGCACAGCATTGCTTATCCTTGAAGGGCTAACTAAAAAGTAAGAAAATCATTTAATCTTAAAACTCTTAGTTACCAAATAAAAGACTTGATTGAAGTATGGTTTAAATTTTTATTGATTAGCCTTTTTTTACAGGGTCTAAGCAATAACATCACGAATTAGTTATTTTTAAAATACGGATTCCCAATCCATATACCTGTACTAAGGTTGTTCCAACATTCCATAGTTTGAGCTTTTTAACAAAAAATTAAAATACTCACTTCTTTATTGATAAATTTTGCTATTAATTGATATATTACGTAGAATGAATATTATTAGTTGAAAACTATTTGAATTGTTACTACAACTCTAAGTTAGAATTGTAGTGACATCTTTCTCTAACAATCGAAGCAATATCCGAAGACGAAGTAGATATATGTCACCTGTTCAGATATCTGGGTAAAACATTAATTACCAGAACCAATGTGTATTTTTCATAAGGATTCTACATGTAGAGAATATTATTATTGTTTATACGAAAAAGAATGCAAATATTTGTATCAAATAATAATTAAAAAAACATATGCTTCGACAGGTTTTAGAATATTATCTCTGATTGAATAGCATAGTGTCACACTTGCTGATTCCTCTGCGCATGTCAGAAACTAGTACATGTGTACTGAAAGGAAAAAAACGCCAGGTAAATTTTGAGGTGAAATAATTTTATTTTTCCTTATGTAGTTTCCAGTATTCCGACCCAACGTTTAAAATCATCTTAAATGAAAATATACCGGTAACCAACAACTTATTTGATTTTGCATTATAACTCTTGGGTTATTGAAACTCATATTAGGATACCCCCCAAAGTGAAAATCGAAAATTCTCATTATCTTCAATGTCTCCCTCGCTCATCTCACAGCCTTGATTCTCCTTTGCATGGAGTTCATCAGTGTCTTTATCCCTCAAAAAGGGATATTATTTAATCCTTTCAACAAATCAGCCCTAAGTTACAAGAGAACAGGTTTGACATTTCGAACTCAGTCATCCACTTAGTCTCACAGATGTTCGATGAGAAACAGACGGACTTTTCGGAGACGAGGCGACTTAGTAAATGTGATTGTTCCCGAGAAAGTATTGACAAACCCTGGCTACATTGGACTAGAGTTAAACACGCTGAAAAATTAGGCGAACGACGCGTGCATGCGCCATTGAGAGGAACAACAACATAAAGTTGACCAGCTCAAAAAAACCCAAATCGAGCAATCGGTTTCTTTCAGTTAAGGGGGAATGTAATGATATAATAGCCTACTGTATTAATAGCGGTTTTAGCAGTAGTAAGGTGGCGATTAAACAGGTGGCAGGATAAATAACCGGTTTTTGACGTGACTCTGTTACGCATCAACGTCATCGGCATGGTTGGTTGAAAACTATTCCAGACACTCTCTGACGACTGGTAAGACGTTTTATTAGGAAGAATTTACACGAATCTGCTCAGCAACCCATTTTGCCTTTGTCCTTAGTCAGTAATGTAAAAGTCAGGCCCCGTGGAACTTCTGTCAACTGCACCATGATTGCAAGAATTTCATATCATCTGTACATGTACAAAAACATAGTTGATAAACTTTTTGTCATCAATTAGCACGTGTTTTTAGCTTTTCACCACTTTCCCTACGTGACGCCATGCATTTCATGGTTGAGTAAATCTGAACATTGATTTTAGTGCACATTAACCAGGAATCTCATCGGATCAAGTTTCGTAATTTTCGGTCATGCGGTCAAAATTTTTTCACATCTTATGTTACCCAATTTCCTTTCCGTATAATATGAAACACAAATCTAGAGACAATCGGTCAATTTGTTTGCAATGCTACGTACTGGTATTTTACAGTTTCATGAACAGGAAACAAAATTTAAAACTAAGACATTGCAGAGTATATATATCTATATCTATCTATCTATCTATCTATCTATCTATCTATCTATCTATCTATATATATATATATATATATATATATATATATATATATATATATATATATATATATATATATATATATATATATATATATATATATATATATATATATATATATATATATATATATATATATATATATCCCATGTTTATACGTTTTTCCCGTGGATATGACTGATTGGATAATTTTTTTCATATTCCACAGTTAAGTGCAGTTGTGACGTCACAATGGTTTTTGCGTTAGCGTGATGAAGTAAATTAAAGTGGAGTCTTATATAAAACAGTGTAAAACATTGGATGTGAAGTATTTGACATGGGGTAAAAAGAATCTCCCATGATTTGTAACTAACATAACTGGCCTAAGTGAAGAAATATGTTAGTTTAAGAGTTGTTGTAAAATGTG